TGCTGGCAGCAGCACCCCCCAGCAGGCAGGAGGGCAGCCCTTAGGCAAATAAAAGTTTGCAGCTGATAAGAGCGCGGGCTGGCCCGGCGAAGCCCTTTGGCACAGCCAGGGGACAGATAGTGGCCGGCCGGACACGCACGGCCCTTCTCACCCCTCTGCGCTCCCTCCTGAGTAAACAGGCCCCTCCGGTGTCTTTCTGGGAACAGCACTCGCTGCCCCAACACCCAGCCCCGCACCACGATGCTGAGCCCTGCCGCGGCACGGGCAGCCTGGGGGCTGCAGTGGGGGGGTCACCATGGGCAGCCCCGGGTCCAGCTCTGGGGTAACGGGCAGTGAGCACAGCCCCGAGTACCTGCCGTGATGAGCGGGCACCAGGACCCACCGCAGCCACCCAGGATGGCAGCAGCTCCCGGGGTACGGCCCTGGGGGGGGGAGCACCATGGGTCTGTTCCCATGGCCACTCACAGGCTGTGAGCCCCACGCTGGCATTGCCCTGGGCATGGGGTTTGGGGGAGGGCAGCTTTTGTACCCCCCCCACTCAAGAGCCCTGTGGGGTTTATCCCAGCCCAAGGCTGGATGTACTTCCCAGGGCGCAGGCAGAGCCGTGGGGCTGCTCCCGTGTCCTCGGCTCCTGGGAGAAAGCAAGTGCCCAGGGTGGGATGTGACGTGGCCAAAGGAGCGAAAGGAAGTGGGAGAGAGGCAGACAGACAGACAGACGGATGCGCACCTGACCTGACCGCCTACACCCCAAGGCTGGGGGTGCAGGCATGGGGTGTCCCTTGGGTGCATGGCCAGCACCGCTGTCCAACCCCTCTGCTGCTTGCCTGCAGTACAGGAGGATGCTGGAGGGGTGGGGGGCTTGGAGCACCCCCTGAGTCAGGAAAGGCTTTGGGGCGACTCTGCCAGGCCTGAGACCCCAATCCCTGCTGGGGAAGCTGGTCTAACACCAGCCATGGCCCCCAGGAGCCTGCGCCAGTGACTTTCCCCCATGGCCACAGGTTTGCAGGGAGGTTCTTCTCCTCCTCCTCCCAGTTAGGACCAGTCTGCGCTGAGATTTCCCCCCTGCCCTCCCGGGGGGGGGAAGCCATGAGGGCTGCCACGGCGTGTCATACCTGCATGGCTCTGCCCGAGGCACTGGCACCAAGGAGATTATTTTTTAAGCTTTCCCAGCATACAGAAAATAGCAAGTGTCTAAAGCCGGCTCGCTTGCAGGAAGAGCTGCAGCGGGAGCAAAATCGCAGCTGCGAGGGGAGCAAGGGCAGAGGGCTGGGCAGGGGGATGCCAGCCGGGGCCACAGCATGGTCCCCTCGTCCTGCACATGCCCAGGGCTCTGCCCACAGTTGTGTTCCCCCTCCAGCACCCTGTTTCCCACAGCCCCTTGGGGGGGGCAGGCACAGGCAGCAGCATCCTCCTGGGCCAGGTATGGACCAAACCAGGTACAATCCTGCTCTTCTCAGTGCCACTGCCAACAGCGCGCAGCGAAGGGAAAGCAAATCCCAAACAGCTCCCTTCCTTCCCCCGGCCCATGGTTATATTTAGCCCTCCACGCGAGGGCACGACAGACAATGCAGCCCTGTGTGAGAACGGCGGGCGGGAGGAAACCCGCTCAATAGTCCCTATGACTTCCCGCATCCTGACATTGTCGCTCCCCTCCAGCCACTTCCCGTTGCGGGACCATGGCGCCCAGCACCCCATGCCCACCCTGGGATGGATCCTGCCCCTGCCAGCGGCTCAGGGCATCGTCCCAGTGCAGCACTGGGAGGGCAGAGACTGCTGCCTGCATAGCCAGGGGTTTTTCCTGGCATGGGGAGGTCGATGTGATCTAAAAGCAAGGAGCGGCGGTGGCCCTGGGGTGCTGGGGATGGGGACTCAGCAAGGAAGAGGCAATGCTGAGTGGGAAGGGAATGTCCCACTGTAGCTGTCCCTGGCCAGGGCACAGCATGGCAGACCTGCGCCGGGGGGGCACGGCAGGAAGAGGAGAGATGAGGAGGCTGGGAAAGGACTTGGCTGCACTCAGGGAAAAGGCAAAACAAGAGCCTGGGAAAACAGCCTCAGATGACCGGGACAGGGAGCAGGCGTCCCCAGGGGCTGCAGGGGATGCGCCGGGGGGGCGGGATGGACACACATGCCATTTGCTCTCCAGTGCAGCCGGGGTGCATGCATGTCCTGGCTGCCCCGGGGTCACTGCGTTTCTCCAGGCCGGGACACAGGCGCCTGAGTCCCTGCAGGCCCCAGCTCCCCTCTCCAGCCCCCCCACCACCACCACTCCCCTCCTTCCCAAAGCATTGTCGCCTTCTGGGGAAAGGACGGATGGCTCTGAGCAGCCCTTGTGCCAGCGCAGGGTCACAGCGTCCCAGCAGCTGTGCTGGCCCGCAGCAAGCCAGGGCGCAGCCTGGCCCCGCCACAGCTCCGGCTCGCTGCCTGCCTCCTGCCTGCAGAAACCACCGCCTGCTCCTCTCACAAGCTGTTTGCGATGGACCCTCGGGGCAAATGTGGCCCCGGGCAGGGCAGAGGGTCAGCCCGGGAGCCGGGGCAGCCCTGGGAGGCGGCAGGGAGGAAGCAGCAAGGCAGCAGGGCCGTGCCAAGAGCACAGGAGCTGGCTTGCTCCCCCCCAGCCTGGGGCATGGCCACCTCAGGATGGTGAGGGACAGGCAGCACTTCTGCAGCCGCCGGATTCGATCCCTGCTCCACGGCACAGTGCAGCCAGCCGCACGCCCCCAGACACGCTGCTGGCACAGCTCCTCGCCACGCTCCTGCTGCAGCGCCCAGCTGTGCCGTGCTGGGAACAGCTGGATGACAAACCAGAACAAGGACTCGCGCTTGAGCAGTTGTGTGCAGGCTCGGGAAGCCAGAGGGGTTTTTTTTGCCATAATGGTTTATTCAACAAAGCTTCCTCTCTTCGTGAGCCACTGTGGCTGCTCACCTCCGCCCTGAGTGCCTGCAGGCTCCTCTTCTTCCCCAGCCAGTGCTTCCCAGGCAGCACATTGTTGGGATTCAATGGGAGGAAGGGTGGGTTTACGGCACTGAGGAGAAAGGCAACCCGCCTCTGGGAAGCAGCTTCACCCCTGTCCCAGCGCCTGCAGGGAACCACAGCCCCACAGCGACGCCGGTGTCTGCCATGGGGACGGACGGGAGTCCCCAGACACACGGAAACCAGCTGGAAACGCGGCAGGACCAGCAAGCAGTGGGAGCAGGCCGGGGGCTGCCCGGGCCGGAGCCACCAGTGCCCACACAGCTCTGTCGGGGCTCAGCCCTTCCCGAGGGCATTGCTCCAGCCCCACACCGGAGCAGCCCCCCCCGACCGACACCACACGGGCCCAGGGGAGGAAACAGTGCAGCAAGGCCCCGACAAAGCCCAATTGTGCCCGGCCGGCCCTGGGAACAGGCAAATCAATGGGCTATGGACAGCCAAGGGAGCTGCTCCATCATGGGGTGAACAAAAGCATTTTGAATGACATTTCCGAGCTGGGTCCAGCCAGTCCCAGCTGGGGGAAGGGACGGGACCGTTCCCACCATGGCACACAATAGGGAGCAGCCATACGCCCAGCATCACCCTGCAGCCAGGCTGGGAGAGCAAGAGGCCAAGGGCAGGGGCTTAGCTCAAGGAACAGTACCAGTCTGCCAGCAGGACCGGGACGGTGGCACGAGAGGTGCTGTGAGCCCTAGTGCAGGAGAAGGCAGTGGGACGGGACTGGGACAGCCTTCGCATCGCCCCATGGCTCCTTCTAACCCAGCCTCAGCTGCCCTCACGCACCCTGACAGCAAAGACCTGCGAGTTCCCGGCGGTGCCTGGCTTTGAGCCCGGCCGGAGGGCAGCGATCCAACCCAAGGACAGCAGGTCGGGAGGTAAACACAGCTGGGCAACACCAGCAGTAAAGCTGTCAGCGGGGCAGAAGCTGGCCTGAGGAAGCAGGACAGAGCCATGCAAAACGCTGAACTGGCTGCTGACCTCAGGGCTTCGCACCAGACACGACAGATTTATCGTCCCCGGGAGGGGAAGGCTGGGCCGGGGCAGCAGTGAGGCCTCGCTCAGGCACCAGGGGAAAAAACAAGCCGGGAGGCAGCGATAACCCCAGCTACAGCCCCGGCACGCTGCCGGCAGAGAACAGCAGCACGGCCACCAGCCAGCCCTGCTCGGGTAGCTCTCGCTGGAGTTTGGCCCTGCTGTGCCGGTGTTGCCCAAGGCTGGAGGGGACACTGGCCACCGGTCCCCAGCACTCGCTGCCAGCCTCTCCCGCCACACGCCGCCCTGCTCAGCAGCCCAGCAGGACGCCCAGTCCCCTCGGACCCCACCCAGAGCTGCCACAGCCCTTCTTGTCTAGATAAGGAGGTCGAGGGGAAGCAAGTGACGTGGCTGGGGGAGCTGGGAGGGAGGCACAACTGCAGCACGGGTTGGGATTTCGGAGCCTCCCCCTCCTTCCTGCCCACCACCCTGTACCAGGCCCTGAGGTCAGTGCCTGGCCAGGGACAACGATGGTGTTTCTCCCATTGTAGAAGGGGTTGCTTCTTGAGAACATGGGGAGCGGAAACGCTCTGAGCCAGGGTTAGGGCCGGGTGCCGATGCAGAAGACACAGAGGCCCAAGGACTGACAGAAGTTTATTCTGGCTGTTCCTGTACAGGGCAGAGATCTCCCCTTCCTCGACACGCGAGCCCAAAGCCATGCTCAGAGCTCCAGGATGGAAGCAGGGCCAGGACTTCCACCTCCCCCCGTCCCCCTTCCTCGCCACAAAGCCGGGGGATGATGCAGAGAGGGGTTCCCCAGAGATGTCCGCCGCTGCTCAGGCTCCCGTGGGTGAAACGCAGTGGCGTGGTGCTGTGGTCGGGGTTCGCAAAGAGCCACGGGAGAGCTGTAAGCAGGACAGTGGGTCCTCCTGCCGCAGATGGTTGGCCTCACCCCAACACCATGTCACTCAGGTCCAAGTTTCTTCTGTCTTCAAGCCATGGAAGAAACCCAACCTGGAGAGACATGGGTGGGACCAGGCCGAGAGGGTTTCATGGTTCAGGGGCCAGGACAGGCCGAGAGCGAATGAGTTTCAGACATGCTCCACCTCCAAAGCATGGCTCCCTGCCCGCTCTGCCACCCAGGGGGTCTGGGTGGTGCTGTGTCTTGAGTGCATCTGTGGGGTGGGCAAACCCCAACCCTCCGGCGGGGCCTGGGAGGGTGAAGAGCAGCAGTGGGCAGGGCATATTGCCCCTGCAGGAGGGAGGCTGGCGGAAGACATGCAGGTGGCAGGGGCATCCCCAGCACGGTGCTGCGGGACCCAGCCCTCCGGCAGCCGGGGCAGTCGCCGCCGGGCACCGCGTCTGCCCGCACAACTTCATTAACTCTTCTCCGGGCGGTTCCTGTTCAGCACGGCCCGAGGGGCGAACTCCAGCTTGTCCTTCAGGCTCACCACCTTGGTCAGGTCCTTGCCCGCGATCTCCTGCAGCTTGCGGTCCTCCCGCTGCTCCGAGATGCTCTTCTCCTCCTCGGCGGCGGGCGGGGGGTCTCCGCGGAGGCACCGCTCCAGGTGGTAGCCCACCAGCCCCACCACGAAGGCCACCGGGAAGGCGACGTAGGGGGCCGTGGAGCGCACG